AGCGAACAACCCTGTCTCAGACCTCTGGAAATATGAAATTTCTCCGTAGGAGACCCATTTAACAAAACCGAAATCTCAGCAGTTGACATGCACTGGAACATCCACGACCACTTTTCACCAAACCCCATTTTACTCATAATTTGAATCAAAATTTTCCAATCTACCGAATCATAAGCTCTCATAAAATCCACCTTGAAAACTACTCCCTTCAGCCCTCTCTCTCCAAAAATCAATACTCTCATTTGCAATAAAAGAGCAATCCAAGATGTTTCTCCCCGGAATAAAAGCAAATTGGGACTGACTTATAATATCATTGAGATACAAACTCAATCTTCTAGCTAAGACCTTAGAGATGACTTTATAAAGACCTCCCACTAGGCTAATTGGCCTAAACTCTTCCAACCCTCGGATTTGCCTTCTTTGGAATAAGAGAAATGAAAGAAAAGTTCACCTCCGGCTCCCATACCTTCCCCACATAGAAATCCCTAAAAAACCGCATCATATCATCCTTCAATTTAGCCCAGAACTTCTTAAAAAACCCTAAGTTCAGACCATCCGGAACCGGAGCTTTGTTGATATCCGAATGAGCAATAGCTTCCCAAACTTCCTCTTCAGAAAAAGGCTTCTCCAAAGCTAAACACTGACCTTCGGACAGCTTGAGAAAATCCAGATTTAATTCCACTGCCTCCAGGGTGTTTGTTTGATTATACAACCTCTTGAAAAACTCCACCACTGAAGCTTTAATTAACCTAGGGTCTTCAATAACTTCACCATCAACTTTGATAGCTTTTATGTAGTTTATCCTCCCTCTAATTGCTGCACTATGATGGAGAAACCTTGTGTTCTTATCCCCTCCAATCTCCATTTCAATCTAGACTTTTGCATCCAAATTGATTCTTCCTTCTTTGTAACTCCCATAATTCTCTCTTTGCTTCAACAATAGAATTCATGACACCAAAGAAGACCTTGTTGCAATTTCATTTCCATATCCTATATCACAGACTCCAAGGTTCTGATTAGCCTGGTAATTGAAGAAAACCTTACCAGCCCAATTTTTGCGACATCCTTCACCCGGTTAAGAATTCTGGAAATAGGTATCGAGTTTTCCTGTGTACCCAGATTGAACAGTTCTTTTGTCAACAGTTCACTAAACCCTTCCTCCTCCAACATATAATTAAACAGTCTAAACGGTTTCGACCCCCAATTGCACTCTCTATTCTCCAGCAGAATAATATTATGATCAGAAATGGACCTAGGCTGCAGATTTTGGTTGATCTTTGGGAATTGCGAGAAAAAACTATGATCAACTAAAAACCGATCCAATCTCTCAAAATTGGGAACTTCCCTATTATTACACCACGTGAACTGACCTCCCAATAAAGGCAAATCAATTAGATTTGCCTTAGAGACAAAATCTCAAAAAATATTCATCGACATCAAATTCACATCACCACCCCTTTTCTCTTCCTGCGTCAAAAAGGCAATGAAATCCCCACCTAAACATACTGAACAGTCCACCTGTTCCAGAAAGGAAAATAAATCCCTGAAAAATGGCTCTTTATCAGCCTCCACACTTGGACCATAGACATTTATGAAACAACAATAGTTTGGCATACCATCCAACCAACCCTTTAACGCCACAAATCTAGTTCGGATGACCTTTTCCTTCACCACAAATACCTTCTGATTCCACATTGTTATTAGACCACCAGCCGAACCTACAGTAGGCACAACTGCCAAACCATTAAGGATTTTTCCTCCCATTTTCCTACCTAACATAGTGCTAACAGTTTCCAATTTGGATTCTTGCAAAAATAAGATAGTTGGTTTTTTCTCCTCTACAAATCTCCTAATAGCACAAGCTTTAACCTTCCTACCCAGACCCCTAACATCCCAACACATAATGGACCATTCTACCATCAAATGCATTTTATGACCATAACCCCTGAACCAACTACCACCCCTCAAACATCTCTATCCTTCACCAAAGGAACAACTTTGGTCAGGAATTCCTTTTCTCCTCCTTTAAACTTTACCCCCAATAAATTGGATACTTTCCAACACTCCATTGCTTCTGTCCTCCCCTGATTCTTTTCTCCTGCTCCAATAACATCATCCATACCATCACAACTTTTGGCAGCCCTCCTCTTAGCATAAACTTTATTATGATATCCTCTTGCGACATTAATACCCGATACACTCCCCCCAAAAGGTCTTCTCTGTGATAGAGAGACAGACCCATTCTGCATACCATATCCAACCTGTGTATCTGAAATTAAAGCCTCATTCTTATTCCCATTCTTATTTGCTAATGGACTAAAATGCTCAGGCCCAAATACTTCCCTCCTACCCATGTTGGAAATAAGCCCATCCTCTTGGACCACTTTATCTTTCCCCGAGGTGTCTCCTTGTAAGCTGACCACCTTTTTCCTCCCATCAGAAAAAGTCCCTGACACAGTCTGCTTGCTGCAACCTTCACCTAGTATTGTCCCCTCGTTACAAAGGTCAACATTTGAACTGTCCTCGGCTTCAGCGCTATTTTTCAAATTTCCCTCGTTCATTGGGCCACCTCCCTGTGAAAAACCTCGAACCCACTCTTCAACCCTGCTTCTAGAGTCTGACATCTGCTGAGAATTCAACTGCCCTTGCAGACCACCTCGATCCTCCCCTTTGCTCCCCTCTGACGAATCCTCCTCCCAAGGAACCACTGTTCCTCCTTGAGAACCATCTTCATCAACCCCTTCATCATCTTCCCCTTCTTCAAGCTCAGGGAAGAAATCATCACTGCTGTCTACCTTAATCTTGATAGTAAAGGACCTTCCAAGAGTATTAAAGATGACATATGGAGGGATGTCAAACGGACTTTCAACTCTTAATAACATATGAGCCACCCTACAATCAACTCTTTGAGCTGTCTGTTCTTGAATCTTCACTAATTTGCCCCATCTCGATGCCAAACTAGTAAAAAATGAAACTGACCAGCAGTTTAATGGAACGCCCATCATGGATACTGAACAGTAAGGTAATGGAACACCCTTCTCTTCGATCACAGGCTCCAACCTTTCAAACCAAAAGGGCAAAGCTTCCCACTTATCTTCTATAGCTGCTTCTTTCTCCTCCACAGACCGGAAAACTACCAAACATGCATTTTTCGCATAACCCCATCTAACTACCTTAACATTGATTCCCTCTGTTCTCAATGCCCTTTGCACAAACTCAACCTCAAATATCGCTTTAACGATACCTGTTAATGAAGTCCTCAGCCATGATCTTTCCTCCAATGGAATGAAGAAATCCATGTCCTTCTTTCCTCTCCTGTCCCCAAGGTTTCTGGATTGCTGACCCTCATCTTTTTTCAAACCTACTACCGTATCCTTATATGTTTGCCATCCTGGAACCTGTTCATCATCTCCTTCTTCCTAGCCCCAACCACTTGGCTAGATGCATTTTTCCTTTTCGAAACCTCGACACCTACAACTCCAGCCTCTACTACTCTATTGCGATTCAAGTTCCTCGGACCACCACTCCTCTGATATTTCGCATATGACACTAATATTCTCCTCCCATCAACAAGGACGTTGTTCATCTTCTCCTTAGCAGTAATCAAATCCTCCTTACTCGCAAAATGCACAAAGGCAAACGTCTTGTCCTTGTAGTTGGGTCTGCTATTAACAAACGGAATAAAAACTTTAATCACCTTACCAAAACGGCTAAAACGATCCCACAATACCCTCCTATGCACTCTCCTACTAAGATTGTCAACGAATGCAACCCACGATCCTCCTCCAGACACCACTCTATCTCCATCAGAAAGCACTTGTTGGTTGAAAGGCAGCATAACGGCTTAAAATAAATGCACATTAGATTGAAAACCATTAACCATCTTTGTGCTAATATGTACATCCTGGGAAAAAGAGTAAAAAGGAAGGAAACCCGAGGACTATAAAGATGGAAAAAGAAAATTCTCTCTGATTTGCTGTCTAATAGTTTTCTTTCTGTTTTGCTCTCAAAATCTTAGAATTTCTGATATTTCTTTCATCTGCATCACAGTGGTTTGGAGATGCTGAGAAGCTAACCAAGGCCCTTTTCTCCTTTGCTAGCAAGCTGGCCCCAGTCATTATTTTTGTTGACGAGGTGAGTTCCTCTCAAGGAATTAAAGAACATTTTTTTCTATTAAACTATCATGGACTTTTTAAATTATCATTACCCTTTCTGGAAAGATTGGAAGATTGAATGGGCCAAATTCTTAAGTGAAGATTATCCTTTCTGAAATGCAACAATTCCTTCGAGGTCCTCCAACTTGTATGGTAATCAACAAAGAAAAAAAATGAAGGAAAAAACAGCATACTCCATGCTATAAAAAAAAATATGCTGCAAAAAATTCATGTACCATGAAGGACTCAAGTAAAAGAAGCCCATTTCACAAGCTCTGTTAAAATTTTATTGAAAACCTTATTGTCATATGATTTCTTGCAACATGTAATACTATGAAAGTTCACACGAATGAATTGCCATTTTCTGAATATATATACACATGAATATCAGTTAGGGCTCCTAAGAGGATCGTTTTCAATTATATTTAAATTTTCTAGTATTTTGAGTCATTTTTTCATGATGTTTGGGGTTAAATTTTGGAATTAACATTTTGCATCGTAGGTTGATAGTTTGCTGGGTGCTCGTGGTGGTGGTTTTGAGCATGAGGCAACTAGGAGAATGAGAAATGAATTCATGGCAGCTTGGGATGGATTAAGGTCAAAAGATAGCCAAAGAATCCTCATCCTTGGTGCCACAAATAGGCCATTTGATCTTGATGATGCTGTTATTCGTCGCTTACCAAGAAGGTAAATCCAACACCCGTGAGGTTCTGCATGCAAGTTCCTCTTACGTGTTTGCTAACAGTTATGGTAGTCGCCAGTATTGCTAATGAACTATGCTGGATGGTCATTTAGGATATGTTGACCTACCCGATGCTGGAAACCGCATGAAGATACTGAAAATATTCTCTCACAAGAGAATATAGGACCTAATTTCATTTGAAGAACTTGCAAATGCAACTGAGGGGTATTCTGGCAGTGATTTGAAGGTAAAATATTCTTTTTCAGTACCACTTGAATTCTTAAACTGTCTGGCTCATGATTCTCTGTAAGTTCGCGTGCAGAACCTCTGTATAGCTGCAGCATACAGGCCTGTTCAAGAACTTCTAGAAGAAGAAAACAAGGTACTTTGTTGTGCATTAAATGCTGTATCAATAGATCGTGCTTCTACGCTAGTAGTCCGATCTTTCACATTAATTCCTACGCACCTTCTGTATTTTCTTCCCACATCTTTTATGCTATTCTGCAAGGATGAAGTAACTATTATTTTCATGCACTGTTTAAAGAGAGATCCTTAGTATTCTGTTGGTAAATTAACATTGTAGGAGGATAAAATGTTCAGTTTGATTCTCGTGTTAACAGTTTTCACTTGATTGTCTAGGGTGGCAAAAATGATGCAGCTGCAGTACTAAGGCCTCTTAATTTGGATGACTTTATTCAGTCAAAAGGCAAGGTAAGATTACCCTTGTTTATTAATATAAAATGCAAAACTATGTATTTGTATGGCATAAAGCCACAAACAACTTCCTGTGCTATAGCTGTGGAAAAACTTTGAAAATCAAACATCCTCGTGATGTAGACATATCTCTGTTTGACACTGGCACGGTCCGAGTAATATTGGATATGATGCACAATTGTTTTTGTTAAAAAAACAGGTGGGTCCATCTGTTGCTTATGATGCTGCAAGCATGAATGAGCTGAGGAAATGGAACGAGCAATATGGGGAAGGTGGTAGCAGAAGGAAGTCACCTTTTGGTTTCTGATGCAATTTTTTTGCTCCACTTTTTCCCCCTTAATTTTAATTTTTCATCCATTTTTGGAGCGGATGAGATGAGAGAGGGGCAACAGGTAGCGTTGTTGTAACTTATTCTGGGTGGGGAAGATCCCCTTAGATGCAGAATGTTGTCTGATTTATTTTTCAATAATTGTATTTGTTAGACATAGATTACATAAATAGACATATGATCATTCAAATATGCACAAAAAATTTTGAATGTCTTTTTTTTCTTCCCCCCTGATGTTCCACTTTGAATAGTACATAAAAATTCCAATGTTGCTATTTCTAGTAAGGTTAAAAAGTGTAGATCAAAGATCATAAAGGTTGGATTTTTTTTCTTCTGTTTTTAATCGTTTGACTTGGACAATTTCCTTGATTATTTTACAAATGTATTTTATTATCTAATTTAAATTTAGCAAATGAAATATTTTTATTTAAATTTCTTTTTGGGTGTATCATATCAAATTATTTATTTTCAGCTATCTAGTTTTAAGATGAACCATTGTTTGATATATTAGCAGAGGTCTCTGAACTCTAAGCTGTGCTACTTGTACTCTTGTCAATTGGACGGGTCGGCTTGAGTTCATATGAAGTAGATTTGGATGGATCGGTATGTGCTCAAATTGTTTTGGATGGAATTTGCAGTCATGTAATGCTCTCATTTGGTTCTTATTGTCTATGAATATTTAAATTCGAAACATAATGACGATTCTTCTTCTTAGATTACTGATGACTTACCCACTTCGCGAACGTTTAATTTTAATATTTCATGCAAATACTTATCAAGGAAGATACAGTAATGGGATCAGGCCTAGTGAACTTGGGCCATGAGTTGGACCTATATTTTGTTAGAATCCAACCTAAAATAATCTGACTCACGAACAAACCTACGCTTTTGGATCTCCCAAACACAAGATTATCATACAAAGTGCTGTTGTTTCTTCCTTCACTCGCACTCACTTCACCAGATCTTTATCTTTCTCTTGTTACCAACGCTCTTCTCGCACTTTCCTTTGCCTTCTCCTTCCACCACCATCTCTATTCTTTCCTTTTTCTTCTCCCTGTTTCTGATAAAGCTCCACTATACCATGTCCTTTGCACCACGATCCTAGCTTTAAATTTTCTTCTAACATTGATAACGAACAGGTTTGCTGCTTGTTTTATCTCTTTCTTCTTTCTAGTTTTGTTATAGTTTTCACTAAGACGGTTTGAGAGCTAAGAAATCAAATAATGCAAGTGTTACAATTTACAACTTGTTTTTGTTTTTCATCTCTCTTCCAGATTTCTCTGTATTCAGCATGTCTGCAAATTTAAATTAGTGAATGCCAAGGTGATATAGAAATGTATGTAATTAATGAATTTAATTTGAGTATTGTGGAAATATTGTTAATTTTTTTTCTTCTGATAGTATTTTATTGAACCATCCTCTATAAGCCGTCGTTAATCCAACTATCCTATATCGATTCGAAAATATTACTATCTTTTAATATATATATATATATATACATAAATTAAATAATTAAATTGTTTTTAGTATTATTAAAATTTGATATGTATAATTTATGCAAATAAAAATGATTAGATCATTGAGTGGAAAAACGTCGGCACGAGATTTTATTGTTTTAGATTTGATATTAGTTCGAGTCTTGAAAATTGTTTATAATATATTTATGAAGAACCAATTGATCTTGAAAGAAGCTAACAATGTTTGATTTATGTTGTTTAATATTATTTTAAAATTTATTTATTGTTTGGGTGCAACATAGATGGGAACAGGCACAGCAGACCTTTGCTGATGCTCAGCAACTTCAAATTCAAACCTAGTTTCCCTTTTGCTTCTTCTTCTTTAAAACCATTCTACTCAATTATTAACAATAATCTCAGAACCCGAAGTTTCTCCACGAAATCAAAGTCGTCTTTGCAGCCACCGGATTTCCCTCGCTTGGCTTAAACTGCTCGAATTTCACTCGCCCCTAATGATGTTTCTTCTCTCTCTCTCTCCCCCCCCCCCTTTTCCCTCCATTTTAATTCACTTTATCATATTTTTTTCGCTTTGGTTTCAGGTTGAAGAATTTGCTTCCAAACTCCGACAAGTTATAGACTGGTATTACATGTATAGATAAAAGATTTTGAGAACTGATTTAAATTCAAATAAAGATTGATATTTGGTGAAAGATTTGGAGATTTCTCAACAAACTGAGTGCTGGTTTTTAGGTTTTTATTTGTGATTTTAGCTGCTATTGTTTATTGGGTTATTGTTCAAATTATCTTTTTTTGTCATTGACTTTTCGAAAACTATAAAATGGTAGTTAAATTTATCGAGCTGTTATGGACTGATTGCAAAATGGTCATTGTTATAGAACTTTATTATTGTTATAAGGCCGCGTCTCGATAGATTTAATGGCCATTTTGTAACTTTTGAATGTAAAGGGACTAAAAAGATTATTTGAGCATAGTTAAGTGACCTTTGGTATCCTGAACCCTTGTTTTAAAGATGAAGCTTTTAGAAATATTGTATGGTTATTATTCTTGTACTACTTTTGAAGAATGTGCTTGTAATCCACAAATATACGTAGTTTGATCACATTTTACAACTTGAAAATGGCAAAATAACAGAGGGTTCTTGGGTTATTTATTGCAGGTTTGGGTAGCTTCAAGCTGTTGATCTTGAGAATGTGGAGCCAGCTCTTAGAGCAGGTACTTAAGAGACTCATTTACATAAATTCGTATTTCGTCCTTGGTAGTCGGTGGTGCAATTGTGCCGTGCGTTTGTGATATGCGTTTGAATGAGAGCAAACTAAAATATGGCGTTGCATCGATATCGAGCATGATTGAGGCATTCGTTAACATATCGGTGAAAAGTAGGATCTATACAGTTGCTATATTCAATGCTTTCAAAGGCAAAAGGCATGACTATTCACACAAATGGCTCTCAGTCAGGGTAAAAGGCACATTTATATATATGTATACGCATGTGTATGCATTGTAAGGCACATTTATATACATATACGCATGTGTGTATGCATACACAATGAAAAGTAGTTTTGATACCCTTGATTTACTACCTGTTTGAGTTGTGATTAGGCCTGTAAATGAACTGAACGTTCAGCGAACCGTTCATGAACCGTGCGGCGGGAATTTCGTTTATGTGCGTTTATTTATTAAATGAACGAACATGAACAAGATTTTGTGTTCGTTTAATTAAATGAACGAACATGAACATAGGTCTCGTTCGTTCATTTACGTTCGTGAACGTTCGGTTATGTTCGTTTATATGCGTTCAATTATGTTCGTTTATGTGCGTTCATTTATGTTTAACATAATATTCTTAAATCAATTTTGGTGACCAATTTGTATGTATCTTAAAAATATTAATTAATATGATATTTTGATGACCAACTTCATAATTAACCCAATTTTACAACCTGATTAAGCGGTAATACAAAAAACCCTAAATCTAAAAACAATATTTTTTCAACTATTCTCCAGCCCGTCATTCAGCCGTTCTTGATAGCCAAATCAAGGTTGGAAAACCTGAAACTGCCCTCGTATTGCTTCTCTCTGATCATCTCTCTCTAAAAAGCATTGTAATATTCCATAAAAAAATCAAAGCCTTTCCCCTCGTTTTCATCTCTGTATTGTTTCTCTCCGATCATCTCTCTCTCTGCTCTGCTCTTTGGATTGCTTCTCCCCGTTCCTCAAATGGTATGAACTCTCGCCTTTTACGTATATTTCAATTTTGTAAAACTCATCGCCATTCCAAGGGGAAAGAGAAGGAAAAACTATTTTATTATTTGATTATTCATGATTTATTATCCCTCTTCTTCTTGCCTGAAAGTTGGTTTTGGATGTCGAACGCTGTACGATGATCCTCAACATGTTTAATCTGGTTGATATGAAAATAGATATATCATATATCCATTAATTTTTTTTTTGCTTTCATTTTGCTTGGATTCGTAGAAAGTATTAACATATGTGCAGAGGAATTAAGATAGAAATACTAGGGATGGAAGAATTTTTTTTCCTAGTTTTTTTATGCGTGTGTGTTTGATTTATTTTGTGAATGGTTTCCAAATGGCTGGTTGTTTGGGTGCAGTCCATAAGCCAACTCAACTGCTGCATTGCAATTCCCTATCGACTTTTGTCAAATACTCATTTACTTTACTCCCTTTTTATTATTATATTTGGAGAGTTGGTAATTTTGGACGATTATCAATACATTTGGATCCATTATCTCCAATTCTGATTATACTAAAATTATCCTTTTCATCCTCAACTTTATTAATTTAATTATAGGGTAAACTCCATTATCTCCCTTCGGTTATGCCCATGTAGGGAGGTTGTTTATGTTCGATGAATATGGTTTTTGTTGCTGAGCCGATGTATCCATTTGGTGTTGTGTTTGCGGTATATCGGAATTGATGTCCACTTTGTTATAACTCCATATACATGCTTGGTTTGTATTGGTGTTAGTATGATATGGGGAGTGGATTGATGTTGAGATGGGTTGAAGATTGATGATGTTTTGGTGTTATGTATTGTTATGATGCCATATTTTAGTAGGTTTAGTTATTCTGGTTGCTACTGTAAGTTGGTTTCATTCCATTGTCGTTGTGCTTGCTTTACATCAATTTAGCTGTGCTGTTTTAGTTGATATGCCACTGTTTTAATTTGATAATAGAAAAAAATCCTTTTATTTACTAATGCTAACATTTACTCATTGTTGTACCACAGATGTCTGATTCGCCACTTGAATCAACTGAATTTGAATCAAGTACCAACACTCCAACCATGGAAAGTACACAAAATCCAGATGTTTTTATTACAACTGATAACGAAGAAGTAGATGCAGTAGCTACAGCTAGTGTAGAACACGTTGATGCAACCAATAATGAAGAACCAACTCCATTCACTAGAAGAAAGAGAAAGAAGACTTCGGGAGTTTGGGAACATTTATGGATGCTAAAGTTGCATGATGGAATTGACTTGTGTGAATGTAGCCATTGTGGAGAAAAGTTTAAGAAAATGAAATATGGAACCACCACACCGTTGCATAGGCATATTGGTGATTGTCCAAAGTTGAAAGTGGTTAACAGAGGTCAATTAAGTTTAAAAGTGCAGCCTGGCAAATCAGATTATTTATCTATGGTTCGAAATTGGAAGTATGACAATGCAAAGATGAGAGAGGTTATTTCCCAC